GATCGAAGATACCTGTTATCATTCTAAAGATCGCAAGTTTAAACCCGAGTTTTGAAAATCATTTTTGCTAAACCACATGGTGTAGGTAACTCAGAAAAATAAAATCTAACTACTATGCAATTTATTGTACTTTGAATAGGTACTTTTATTTAATAGGTACCTAATCTGTGGATAAAATGTCTAGATTAAGTATAAATACTTGAAAAGATAGTGGTTTACTGTAGTCATTTTTTTTTTTAAAAAGGAATAGTATCAAATTTTGTTTATATAAAAACTATTGTTTTAGAAGGTTAAAAGGATAATACAAATATTTACAGAAAATTTAATGTTTCAGATTGTGCAATATGGACAATCTTCTAGAAATTATTTTCAAGATAACAAACAACTTTCGATGCAAATCTAAACATTAACCAGGAACAGATGAGTGAGGAAGCCAATAATATTATCGAGAACACAAGAAGTACAAAAGAATATTTTGATTATGGAAAGTTTATTGAAAACAGATTAATGAACTTCTCTTTAAGAACTGAAGAGTCTGTCCAATATAAATTTTCCAAAAATATTTTGAATGTCACCCAAGGATATTATGAATGAAATCAGTGCATTATATTAATTCTAGTATCATTTAATTTTATTCAATTTAATTTAATGATACCCATGCATTATGATAATAATTAATGTACAATCCGAATTTTTCCGCCATTACTATTTTTCTCAATACTAATTTTATTAAATGCTGTAAAAACAGTATTATAGTATCAGACCCAAATAAAGGTGTAGGAGGCATGGATTAACTACAAGATTTATGGTCCGTATTTAATAGAATTCGAACTGGACAGGAACTGGTGCGGCTCCATAATGTTAAAGTAGGGCTTAAGTACAGCCTTGTGTACAACTATGGTCGCGATAACCAAACATTTCACCAGATTGTGACATACGAACCACTTAAGGGGCTTTGTTAGCAACGGTATCAAATTTAATAAGATTCTTTTCGGACTAATATTTCAAAGCGTATTCACGCATCTCCTTTTCGATGCTAAGTAAGTGAACCGCCTGCATTTGACACTTTAAACTGCTTTTCCTATAGGCTCAGATATGATAGGGTAGATTTATAGGTACCTACATTTTTCTAATTTCCCGTGTACTCCGGGCATAATGATTGTTTATGAACGAAACTATTATCGGACAAGAGATCATTCACTGTACTGTCAATAGATAATTATCTATATTGTTTGTAGTAAATGCACTGGTCCGGGGAAACGCTCGTTTGAATGAACGTCAATCCCTGAATAAATCCGTTCGAATAAAATACATAGAGTAATACGTGGTATTATTCAATTTATTCGCAGTTATCGAGTTTGCATATTATTATCATTTTAATGGCGCCGTGACCACTAAGATGACGGACCAGGTGAATTTGGTCGTACAATACTTCAATCTATAGAGTATAATTATTGTATAGTAAAGATACGTACATTATACATTATTAACTCGAGGTAATTGCCAATAATTTTCGTCCCGATGTTAATGGTCTTTTGAAAGCGGTATTTTAAACAATTGTAAAATAAAATAATATTGTGGACGACAGAAGAAAAACCTTGAAATTTAATGTCAACAGTAGAAAGATATCCCACAACAAGCTTTTCATAAAATATTACGTTGCAAATAATAGATCATTTGATTTTCTTTTTGAATCGTTAAAGTAAGTAAGTAATTTGTTGTACCTATTTAGTCAGTTAAGTACTGTTGTCATTTAAAGTTATTATATGATCCATCAAAATATTAAAAATTATAGACGGCGAGTCTAAAAAGCAGACAAATCGTACAAAACCAACATTTAACACCTAATAAATTGATGTTGAGTTTTACTTTATTAAAATATATGTGCAATTGAGTTGTATACTATAAAAAAAAAAAAAAAAGGCATACCAATAAAATTCTCCTAATTATATTCCTAGCGTACTCATGTGGTTGGGAATATAGAAATCATTTCATATTTCCATCTATTTTACACTTAGTTTATCTTCACGTATGAAAACTATGTAATAAAAACCAAATTGATTNATAACAAAACATTTCACCAGATTGTGACATACGAACCACTTAAGGGGCTTTGTTAGCAGTGGTATCAAATTTAATAAGATTCTTTTCGGACTAATATTTCAAAGCGTATTCACGCATCTCCTTTTCGATGCTAAGTAAGTGAACCGCCTACATTTGACACTTTAAACTGCTTTTCCTATAGGCTCAGATATGATAGGGTAGATTTATAGGTACCTACATTTTTCTAATTTCCCGTGTACTCCGGGCATAATGATTGTTTATGAACGAAACTATTATCGGACAAGAGATCATTCACTGTACTGTCAATAGATAATTATCTATATTGTTTGTAGTAAATGCACTGGTCCGGGGAAACGCTCTTTTGAATGAATGTCAATCCCTGAATAAATCGATTAGGTACGGGTATTCATACACTTAATTATTATATCTTATTATTATCTGTACCTATTCGCAAATAAAACATGTTCGCAATTCAATTTTCGTTCGGTTTTTTTATCGATGTAATTTACATAGTATTATTTATTATGCCCAGTCGTATCCGTAGCGCACTCGTGTGGTCGAACCCGTCTCAATTCTTATACAAAAAACGATATCTGTAATAATATAATATTTTGCTTTCTGCGTTTATCGACTTATATTATAGGTGTGCAGGTATTAGTACTGGTACCTATAGTCGTTTTATATTTTGTGATGTTGATAAAGAAAAAATTGTAATTTATTTATTTATTAATACGGACAAAAGTGCAATTCACAAAATATTTGTATAGATAACAATAAAATATTGTATACAATTTGTACTTTGTATTTCGTGTACATTTCTAACGTATTTGAAAATATACAAAACGCAATGGTAATCGAATTCTGAATATAATAATTATTGAATAGTTACATAATCTAGGATAAATAATCATAAATAGCTGTTTAAACAATTACATATCTAAATAATGAAAAAAAAAAATCACTTTTAAAAGACAAATGCAATGTCTTGTTCTGATAAAATTTTATTTGGTACGCGCTTATTAGCCTGTCTTAACCAGGCTCCTAATGCGTCCTTATAATTTTTGTTGGATGTTTTTCGGAAAGCCTATGTATGAAACATCTAAAATCAAAATGATCAAAAGAAAAAAGAATTTATGTTAATTAATAATATATATATAATAATATATAATATATATTAATAATAATAATATTGTACATTATATAAAATAAGAAATTATGTCTATAGTCATAACTGGTGAAGCCCTAAACAATTATCAATGGAAAGATCAAAATAATTAACACAAATGAATAGCTTACATAAATTTAAAAAGTCAATGTAATCATATATTTTACTTACCACTGTGGAACTGTACCACCTATAAATTTACACAACCATAATTTTCAAAAATCATAGAGGTCAAGTTATTTGGGCTTGTTTCTAGATCAACTATTAACCTGGGCAAACCAAATAAGAAAGAAAAAAATCCTCCTTAACTCTAGATGTAAATCACTACAATTCTTACTTGGTAAATACTCTAAACTTGTTACAAAAACAAAATTACTTCTATATAAAACTATTAATTCTCATTTGGATACAGTTATAAGGCACCGCAAAAAATCAAACACATAAAATTCAATTTTTCCAATCCATAACCCTCCGCATAATCACTAATGCCCTTTTTATGTATCTAATCACCCTTCATACAGATCCAAGAATTAATACAGTAGATGAAACTGCCAAAATCCTTTNCACTCCAATCCACTAATCTGTGCTCTAGATACTGACTCAAGTCCTGATAACCCCTCTCGTCAATTAAAGAGAAAGTGGTGTAGAGACCATTGGGTGGCTGCTTTTATCATGTATCTATGTCAAGCTATTTTATATATTATTGCATGCATACTTCCTGTAATAATTAATTTACAGATTATAGGCCTTAAAATAAAAGTTAAAAAAATATATACTGACGGCTAAAAAATGATTATTATATCTTTAAGCAAAATGTACTAAATTGTAAAAAAAAAAAACTACTATTATTATATATTTTATGGACTTCAGGCATCAATAAAAATATATAAAAAATAGAGTACTTTCTTTTAGTATGTAACCTACATTAGACATACATACAATTTTAGAACACACAGAAAAATAAATAAGACATTTAGTTAANCTACAATTCTTACTTGGTAAATACTCTAAACTTGTTACAAAAACAAAATTACTTCTATATAAAACTTTATTAATTCTCATTTGGATACAGTTATAAGGCACCGCAAAAAATCAAACACATAAAATTCAATTTTTCCAATCCATAACCCTCCGCATAATCACTAATGCCCTTTTTATGTATCTAATCACCCTTCATACAGATACAAAAATTAATACAGTAGATGAAACTGCCAAAATCCTTTATAAACGTTTCCGTTCTCGATTAAAAAACCACTCCAATCCACTAATCTGTGCTCTAGATACTGACTCAAATCCTGATAATCCCCCTGGTCGATTAAAGAGAAAGTGATGTAGACACCATTGGGTGGCTACTTTTATCATGTATCTATGACAAGGTATTTTATATATTTTTGCATGCATACTTCCTGTAATAATTAATTTACAGATTATAGGCCTTAAAATTAAAGTTAAAAAAATATTTACTGACGGCTAAAAAATGGTTATTATATCTTTAAGCAAAATGTACTAAATTGTAAAAAAAAAAAACTACTATTATTATATATTTTATGGACTTCAGGCATCAATAAAAATATATAAAAAATAGAGTACTTTCTTTTAGTATGTAACCTACATTAGACATACATACAATTTTAGAACACACAGAAAAATAAATAAGACATTTAGTTAAATTGACCTTTTGTAATGTATAAATTCTTTTTCCTCAACATTTAAATTGATAGCCACATTATTATTTATTATAGATGTTAACCAGCGATTTATTAACTTTCCATTGCTGTTATCAGTAGTTCAATTTTTCACTAAATGAAATTCTTAATATCATATATATAATATTATAATAATATACTACAATTTTAATTCAAGGATAAATGTTGAGATAAATTTGACTTTAAAAAGACTTCCTAGGGTAATGGGGACAGGTGCAGACAATGTTATAGATAATTTAATGTATACCTGTAAGCAACAATAAACTATTTTTTAAAAAAAGGTTCTGAGCAGAGTGATGCTTTGTCAATATATATGTCATTTTATAATACAATAATTTAATACCTATATAGTACCTAGATAAATAGCAATGTTTTTAGATTTTACTTTAAATAGACAACCACTTTCTAAAAATGTTACAATTATTATGATAATATTAAATCAGAGTTATAATAAAATACCTACACATTTTGTATTTGTGTCCGTCCCTGGATATAGATAGTAAGCATACAGTGACAACTATTCTATGGTAGTAGATACCTAACAAAGTAAACCAATCCAATAGTATATCAAAGGCATCATCAATAATAAGATAATAACAACAATATTTTATTTACACCAAATAACACCGCACTTCAATAGCAGTCGTTTTGATTTATTCTCATCAGAGACAGTACACAAATTTTAATTACGAATAAATAAAATACACCTGATATTACTTATGGATATTAAAATTACTTGAATTGTAAAATTTTCACAGCTAGTTTTTGACAGTGGAGTTAATTGTTCTGGATCGACTTGGTAACTAGATAACAAAAATTGATATAATAATGGCCATACATATATAAAAATAATATTCGTTTGACATAATTAACTTGTATATAAATTATAATTTGTAAGAAAACTCACATTGACTGAAGAATAATCCAAAGACATCTCAAGGCTTATATTAGACTGCTAAGTTTCATCAAATAGTGATACTCTTTCACAGCTCAAGTTTTCAGCAACTATTGCGATACATATTTCTGCAGGCAAATTTATGGAAGAACTAAGACCTAAACAATTTACATTGATAATGATGACAATTCTTCAACTTATGTCACAGATTGTCAGTTATCAGTTTTGTTGCATAAAAACATCAAATTACATGGATCTGAT